CCACTCGGCCGGCCCATTTTACAGCTTTTTTGAGGTATAAGTTATATACCATAAAACCCATTCATTTAAAGTATACAATTCAGTGGTTTTTAGCAAGTTCACAGAGTTGTGTAACCTTCACCACTACCTAACTTTAGAACATTTTCATCACTTCAAAAAGTAAGTCTAGCTCGATCACTGCACTGTACACCTGAAGCTGATGTTGTATAATAGTGAAGGTCAATTATAAGTGAATATATATCATCAAGGGACGTGGAGTATAGTGTGGGAGTGGAGTCAGGGGAATTGTAATAGATATGTATCATATGGGGGGGAAGTGGGGTGACAGATTGGGGAGGGGGATTGTCATTTAGAGGGGTAAAAAGTCTAACTATTGCACTGTGATGTACAGCTGAAACTAATTTTTTTTTTAAGATTTTTATTGGGGAATTGGGGGAAGGGGAACAGACAAGTTGCTGTCGTTTTGTTCTTCAGTCTAGTCGTGGAGGACGTTGATTCACTGGCCCAAGTTGGCACCTCATTGTGCTCTTCCTGGGAGAGGCAGATCAGTTGCAGGCTTTTGGACGGCTGCTCATGCTGGCTGCTGGCTACACACGGTAGCCCGTGGCAACCCACTGCAGCAGGGGCTGCAGCCTACGCCTTCGCCAGCGACTCACGGCAGCCCAACTCCAGGTTGAGCTCTTGTTCAGCATCTTAGCTGTAGAGGGCAGTGCCACTGGCCCTCATATGTGGGATCCGAACCGGGGCCCTCTGGCGTCCCAAGCCAGCTATTAACCAATGCGCCACTCGACCGGCCCCAGCTGAAACTAATTTTTAAAAAATGTTTATTTCACAATAAAAAAAAATGAGCACTAAAAAAAGTAAGTCTATATCCCTTAGAAGTTACTTCCCATTCTTTCCTCCTCCTGGCAACCACTAACCTAGTGTCTCTCTTTGGATTTGACAATTCTGGGTAGTTCATACAAATAGAATCATGCAATATGTGGTCTTTTGTCTGGCTTCTTTCATTCAGCATGATGTTTTCAAGGTTCATCCATGTTGTAGCATATTATCAGTATTTCAATCCTTTCTGTTGCCAAATAATATCCATTGTATGAATATATCATGCTTTATTTATCTTTTCATCAGTTTATGAGCATTTGGGTTGTTTACACTTTGGGGCTACAATGAATAATTCTGCTATATACTTTCATGTACTACAAATTTTTGTGTGGACATATGTTTTCAATTCTCTTGGGTATATACCTAGGAATGGAATTGTTTGTTAAATGGCAATCTATGTTTGGGTTTTTTTAATGAATTGCTAGTTTTCCAAAATATCTGCACCATTTTATAGTCCCACCAACAATAAATGATGTTTTTAATTTCCCACATCCAACACTTGTTATTGTCTTTAATTTTTATTTTGGCCATCCTAGCGGGTGTGAAGTGGTTTCTCACCATGATTTTGATTTTCATTTCCCTAATGGTTAATGATGTTGAGGATCTTCCATGTGTTTATTGGACATTTGTATATCTTCTTTGAAGAAATTTCTTTAAATCCTTTTCCCATCTTCAATTGGGTCATTTGTCTTGTTGTTGTTGCTGTTGTTGTTGAACTGTAAGACTTCTTTATATATTCTGAATACAAATCTTTTATCATATATATGATTTGCAAATATTTCCTCTCATCATATAGGGTATCTTTTCACTGTATTGATGGTATCCTTAGAAGCACAGAAGTTTTCAATTTTGATGGAGTTCAATATATAGGTGTTTACAACTATAAATTTTCTTCTTTGAGAACATCGGTTATTTTGGAATGCATTGTTTAGTTTCTACATATTTGTGAATTTTCTTCTGTTATTGATTTTTCACTTAATTCAATTGTAATCAGAGAAGACACTTTGTATGATTTTAATCTTTTTAAATTGATTGAGCCTTATTTCATGGCCTAATATGTAGTCTGTCCTAGGGAATGTTCCATGTGCTCTTGAGAAGAATGTGTATTCTGCTGTTGTTGGGTGAAATTTCTACAGATGTCTGCTAGGTCTAGTTAATTTATAGTATTTTCAAGTCTTCTATTTCATAGTTGATCTTCTTCCTAGGTGTTCTATCCATTATTGAAAGTAGAGTATAGAAGTCTCCATGTATCATTGCTGAATTAGCTATTTCTCCCTTCAATTCTGTCTGTTTTTGCTACCTGTATTTTGAGGCTCTGTTAGGTGGCTATACTAATATCAGACAAAAATAGAGATTTAAGCAGAAGTTATTGCTAGAGATAAAGAAGAATATTTTATAATGATAAGAGATTCACTCTATCATGAAGGAAAAAGTAAACTTTAATTGGAAATAGAAAAACAATTAAGAAAATAGACAAAATAAAAGTAGAGTCTTTGAAAAGATCGACAAAACTGACAAACTTAGCTAGACTGATCAAGAAAAAGAATCAAAGTAATTAAAATCAGGAAGAAAAGAGGGGACATCACTACTAACCTTACAGAAGTAGAAAGGATTATAAGGAAACATCCTGTCTAATAAGTCCATCATCTAGCCTTTCTCAGGGAACAATCCCATTGATTGCTTTTTTTCCCGTATGTGGATCATACACTATTGTTTCTTTGCATGTCTCATAAATTTTTGTTGAAAATTGAACATTTTAAATAATATAATGTAGAAACTCTGGAAATCAGATTTGTACCATCTCAGGGAATTTTGTTGTGGCTGTTTGTTTCTTTGTTTGTTTAGTGACTTTTCTGGACTAATTCTATAAAGTCTATATTCTTTGTCATGTGTGTCCAG